TTATATCCCAAACATTTCGGATGGGTACGTATCGAGCCACAACTTCACGGATTATTGTCCCAGGTTGTACGAAAACCCCAGTTTTTAGCTTGTGGGCCCTCTGTTTATTTTATGTATATCCCAAAGATCTCAGATGGGTTTTTGGTACGAATCGGACCGTAACTTCCTGGATTATTACCCGATTCCCCGGTTGTACGTGACAAGGATTAGGCTCGCTTGTCCAACCTCGTGGGTTTTCTCCGGGTCCTCCGGTTTCCTCCCACTGCTAAAGACCCCTACGCGCAAGCGAATTATTGAAATAAAAAATTGAACCATGTGTTAGTCCCGAAATGGCCTAGTTTGTGTCGAGTGGACGTTAAACCCCATTTCTCTCTCTCTCTCTCATAACTCCGGAATGCACAAAATTCGAATTCATCCCGGGTGCAGTAGAATCTGTATTCAGCAGTCACTAAAGGGAATTTTCATTACTGACCGCTTAAATATACATTTAGAAAAAGAGCTGGTAGTTCTTGCTATAATAGTTCAAAACTAGATAAATGCCATATAAATATATTGAAAATTTCATCTAAGCCAAGTTATCACTTTTGGTAGATTTGACAAGATATTTGCATTGATTGTTTATTATCGTAACACGGTACTGGTATATTCGAGATTTAGACTAGCTTTCCCATTTTTAAATTAAATCATTAAATTGCCGAACCGTTCTAATCTACTTAAAATCAGGATCATCGGATGGCATCGAGGGTTGATTACGATCTTGCCATGTTAATAAATGTAATATTTTAAGACCGACCTGCAATAGGCATATGTAGCTCTTGAATGATGTATCCTTAACGAGAGTGACCACCTAATAAAATCTCAGCGTTTGTTAGTACCGTGAACGTGCCTTTATTTTGTCTTGGGCGACGTGACGCAACCCTTGTGTTATTTGTCACTAGTTCTCACAATGTTTATACCTAAATAATAAGAAGAAGTTGTTAACACATAATGTCTAAATGTCTTCAAGAGATATAATGAGTTTCTGGGTTTATATCCTAATTTTGGTAACCATAGATTTGATGAGCGTGCATACTAAAGTATTTAATCCGTTTCTAATGGGGAGGATTATAACCCAGACAATGACATGCCAGCAACCGCGGTTTAACTAGACCAGGGGGATTATCAATTTGAAAGTGAGCTAGTGGCTTAAAGGAGCTAAATCGCTAATATTTAGGACCTACAAATTGACACAAATGGGTCGCAACGTATATAGTAATGTAATATGAATGTAAATAAACTGATTTACATTCAGTCGTTTCCGTTTTTACTCTAATTTCCAAGCAGTTATGTTCGGCGAAATACCCCAGAAGTCTCAATCGAATGGCAATCTCTGCGTCTGGTTATTCCAGTTTACACCGTTAGTATTTATTGCGCATGCTCTTCAGAGAAGAATATGGAGTCACCGTTTGACATGACTTGTGGAATATGTCTAACCTCGTTCTTGGAGTCACTTGCTACAATGTTAACCATCAAAAGATCTTGAATGAATTTGAATTTTGTGCATTCCAGATTTATGCCCCCTGCCTTTTACGCAAAATGCTCGATTCAGATGAAACTTAAAATGTATGCTAAGGATCAAAAGATCTTGGGAGATGCTAATTGTGGGCCGGTTGGGGAGGTTCGGTAATTTCCGGATTCCACAATGGCCGCTTTATATAAATGAGTATTTTTACATAAAATGTGAAATATGTATACAGTTTGTGGACCTTTATAGCTCATATTGTTTGTCCGATTTAGAGAAACTATCTTAAATCAAACGAGGCGCATCGGACTTCCGTTCCGATGGTATTCCCTCTTTCAGAAAATCTTGTGAAGCTAATTACGTTTGACCATATCGACCATATCATCCATTACAAGCTCACGCGGCCGAGGGAGATGCCATCAGCGGGGTGTGATTTGGGAATGTTGGGGATGGGCTTCTATAATTTGATTAGATCCATGCTGGGCCGAAATTACATTTATTGTCCACTTTAAATGACGATAATCAATTTATTTTGTTACTTTAAGTTTACATTTTAAATTAAAATAGAAACCCTTATTCATTAAGTGTTGTCTTTAATTAACAATAATAATTTAACACGCCGGAAATAAACGAATTATTGCTTTTTGAGGAGCCACTGACGTACATAAAAATGTTGATATATTAGCATGGCGTTTCCATGATAACGATAAAAACTATTATTAGAACATTTTATAATGGTATTTGGTATGACATATAATATATAAATCATTTAAATTAATGTAATAAAGGAACGTCTTCTCTAATTAAAGTTGAACTAAAAATTTCAATAAGTAATTTCAAGTAACGGGTATCGTTTATGGGGTTGTTTGTGCTTGCTGTTTCTTGGAGCTTGAAATCCTGAAAGCACTACTGTTATTGACCACAAAGTATGAAGATGCATTAGGCTCTTGAATCCAATGTCCAACCTATTACTCCGATTTAATAAGTAGTGATAGGTGTTGTGAGAGAGTTTGGGTATGCTGACTTTATCTGGAACACCTATACCACTTGTCATTTTTAGAAGGATTGTGTATCTAATCAATCATCGGTGTATATTGTTTGTAGTAACGATTTCTATTTTGAAATTCACACAATATCATTTAGGTCACCACTTTAAGCTACTGGCTTCCGTCAAATAGTTTATATAGAGACCACTTCAGTCAATATTGCTAACCCTTATAGTTAATTACAGAACTCAATTATGTTTACACAAACAGAATTCTTCGTAGGTTGAACGGAATTTAAAAATAACAATAACACGACCGACTCCTATAAGGCTGCGAAGAGTTAAAATACATTGATTTCGGTTTTGTGTAATTTGGATAGGACATACTGATTTCGAATCATGTATACGGTAGTAGCAGAATACAAGTCGGAAACTCGTGATACGACATTAATCAAACGCAACATAACTGGTGAAGTTAGCGAGATCGTACAACTTATGATACCGGTACTTATAATTCTTATACTCACGTCCTTAATGTAATTATGCGAATAACGACAGAGTTAATCCAGATAGATATGTTTGCATTGTGATTACTTAGCTGGATTATCAAAGATAAGCCTATAAAGAATTTCTGGTGTTGTGTATACTATTGAAATGGTAATAATATATAAAACTTTGTAAGAAAAATCTTTGATCATGTGTCAAGTTATTATGCAATTGTGTTAATGCGTCACACTCCATTGGCGATCGGTTATAACACATACTTATGGAAAAACAGCTACTAATTTATTTGGGCGACGTTTATTTGCTCTACCCAGTTACTAAATGTCTCTAAAAGATTAATATCATAATAGTCTATTGTGTGATATATAGGGAATCTTCTGGTGTGGGACATTGTAAACAAATTTGTATCAAGTGGATCATATACTATGATACATAAGAAATATTCATAATGTGATCAAAACAGGATTTATTTCACCATCAAAGAAAATTGTGATCTGATAGTGTATACCAAGTGATAAACTAGAAAGAGCCTAAACTTTATAAGAAATTAAAAATATATCAATGACCTTTGGAACATCTAATACCACTTCCCATTCGATTTTTTAAGAGATCTAATTTATGTTGTAATTTTATATTAGAAACAATTATACATGCGCTACATGTATAATAAACTATTGTTCGTGTTTTGGTGTAAAAGTGTGTAACTTCGTCTGAAAGAATGTAAGGTTATTTAAAGTAGTGTATGTTTTTCTAAAAGTAGTGCCTATACCATTACTTAAAAAGATGTACTTGTATCTAAAAGAGTGTGTCGTTTCTTTAAAGGGTGAACCGTTACCTTAAAGCGAGTACATCGTTATCCAGAAGAGTGTGCGATTAATAGTGTCGGTACTTTTTTTTTAATGATAGACCGTTACGTATAGGCTACCTCAAGAAGACATACGTTTTCCGTTATCTAATAAATGTACCAGTATCCAATAGCGTAAATGTATATTAACAGCTATCAAAAAGAGAGGGCTACCGTTATGTAATAAATAGAGCAGTATAATTGTGTACAATGGAGTATTTCTATCATAACAGACAATCATTTAGAAGGGAGAGGTGTTCCACTCCCGAAACGTACAATAGTAACTCTCCCGATACGTACAATAGAAGGTAAGACTTCGTAACATTTTGGCTAATTCTTTTGACGCCGATGTCCCTATACAGCCCTCTGTCCTGATTAACAATAGAGGCTATAGGTAATTCTAACATGAAACATACACTGCGTTGCCTGGAAACGAACAAAGTCCACTTGAAACCTTCTCTGCTGTGATGTTAAACTAGTTTTAAAAACTGATCCGTTTAGGATTTAGTAGGTTTCGGTGACAAGGGAAATAACTCCGCTTAAAATCGAAACTCAACAACTAATTTTAAAAAATCGCAAAACTTTACCAGAGTTTGGTGACAAGGGCAGAAAATGTCTATGTGATTAGCTGAACAATCCTATCGAGTTTATTTCTCCTAAAACTCCTGTGGAGCGTTTACAAGACGAACCACAGTGAGTGACGACCTACTCCAACATTATGAACCGTGAACATAGAGATAAGAGATATTTTAGAATTGGCTTATAATAAGTTATACAATACAAATGATATGTACATGTTTTACTTTTTTTTACAGTAAGAAGTTTGCAAAGCACGAAACAGAAGAGTTACTCAGGTGTTCATCAGATTTAAGCTTGGATGAAGGGTAAGAACTTTTATAATTTTGTTTCGAATACATCGAATTCAATATCACCACCCATCATCGACATCATCATCATCCATTGGCATTATCATTTCAAAATCGCTCGATCGCTTTAAGATCCTGCATGTCGCCAAACACAGAAGTTTAGTTTATCTGGCTCTTCCGATAGCCGACATATTTATCAAATACTGGGCCCATAGCTGATTGGTAATTTATCTTTTATACAAACCTTCAGCCATCTGAAACCATAATTGGCATTCCCCGATGCTTAGCCGAAATTGTATTCTAAAACCCAAATTATAAATTGGAGTAGTCCCCCTTGAATTACTAAAACAATAAACGAAAGTTTGCCCGGTTTATTTCAACAATGCCAAGTCTGGTCGTGAAAAGGTTGAGAAACAGTCGCGCCTTATAGTTTGTCAAGAAAGAATACTCAAGTTTCACACACCAGAGAATTACTAAGCTGTGTCTTGATACACCAACCAAGTAAGTGTTATTTATTTTTCATTCATAATTTTAGACAGAAGGTCGTGTGAATTATACGGGGACGTATCTAGCTAGGCTTATTCAATCATAATCATTGAATGTATACATACCTATATCACTTCGTTTCAATTTGCCGAGTATCTGTGATTTGACTTTGTCTCAGCCACATCATTCACAGATTACAAAAAAACCAATTTTGCTCGTGCACTTAACAACAAAAGAGTCATTATAAATATCAAATTTTTGTATCATTGATTGATCAAGCAAATCAACAGTACCGGTACTGGCGGTACAGTAGTACTTAACAAACAAAAAATATACCCCTTTAATTGTGAAAAATGATCCAGCTCATCAGTTGCGCAAAATCTTGATAAACATTAACAGTGCAAAGTCAAAAGAGAATTGCAGTCTGGTTGTATTTAATACTTAATAAAAACAAATGTAGGGGTATATGCCATGATAATCATAAATAAATAATAATATGATTTTAAAGACCTCTCATCATGATGGATGGAATGTGAATGCAATATTTTTTTGTAGCAATGCAAAAGCACATTTAATTTATGATCTCTATTAAGTCTACATTGTATCTGACAGTAGGCTATTATAGTACCATTATGCATGATTATAGGTAGGAGTAAGAATAATGATCAAGGGTTGAAGTTATGTTAAGTGGACCTGTGGTACACTTTGCCCTTGACATGAACATGACATAGGCCTACAATCAACACAGGATAGAAAGCCAATATAAAGTTTCAAATAAACACACAGACATTAAATGGTTTTTTTTCTGTTACCTTGCATATATATGCACAAGAACTGAAGAAGAATTTTTTTTTCAAATTATGAATAATTTATGAAAAATGGTGCCTCACTTGTTGTTTTTGATTTTGGTTATGTTTGCAGAATGACATGAAGTTGAATTTATACCTACTTCTTATAGATATAAGAATTGATTGATACATGTATGTCAAGTGGTCATTATTAATGTATTTGTAAAAACATGGCATTCAATTGTGCCTAACTGTATAAAGATAGTATTATTTTTTTAAAATTATTTTTTTATTAAATATTTCTATCTCTGTGTTCTCCAATGAATGCACATGTCAATCAAATTGTAACAATCTTTACTCTTTACTATACACTAAAGATGCTGAATTGTTTGTTTTGTCCTTATTTTCCTTTGCAGTTACTGAACCCAGCTTTCTTTGTTAGATTTGTTGTTTTTTTTCTGAGTTAAAATTTTGTCAATTAAAGACCCAGTATGTTCACGTCCTGTTTGTAAATTGTCAATAAAATGAATCATTGATGCAGTCGGTGGGCGGTGGGAAGGATTGTCTTCGTCCTTGGTTGAACTTTAAGTTTTGAACAAGCATGATCAAGTGTAGAAGTATTTAGGGTTTGTAGAATTTAACAAGTGATTATCTCATTGAATAAAGATGTTTACTTATTCACACATCAGATAATTAGAGAAAGTAAATATATCCAATTAATGTTACATAATAAGCTTAAACATGCTAGATCGTGTAGGATAAGTGCTTAAGAACCACAGACAAACATCAAGTGTGTCTTTTGTGAGTCTGTTATATTATTATAAGCTTATAACTTAAAAGTGAGCATCTAATTAATTAATTTTTCATCATAGAACTATCAGGTATTATAATTAATTATTTGATAAACAGATTAAACTTAGGAGGGTTGTGCATCAGATAGGATATGTGTTTGTTGAGGTTCCAGTATAGCTTTGCTATTACCAGCATTTGTCACATTTAAACACATTGACAATAAGGAGGAATAGGATCAATGCTGTCAAAGATGCAAGGAAAGGTTGTCTGTGCATCTCCGACATTACATGTATGTATGTGTACTTCACATAGAAATATGCCAGGGAGTCCAGAAATGGAGAGTGGTGCTCACATAGTTGATCTGGTCTAGAAGCATTTGATGCAGAAATATATCAGGAAAAATGTCCAAACATTCCAATATTTCTCCTTTAGTGAATTAATTCCCAAGAGTAATGTTAGGTTTTGTCAGTGAATTTTATTGTGAAAAGACATAAAGAACAAATAGGTTGCCAGGCAATGAAACATACATGTACGCCCACAGCAGCCAAGTACCCAGAGCAGTCCACAAAGGTTGCCAAATATTCTTTTATAGTAATTATCAGAAATAATTCAACATTTATTAGCTTTCAGTTTTTCCCATAAAACTAATTTTAACATTCGCTATTCAAAAACAATATGCTTTTTTTCAAATACATAAGTGACCATAACTCCAGCAGTAATTATCATAAATCAATGAGAATTAACAGGCTTATCAACATAAACATTGTGTATAATATTTTATATCAATCAAAAGCTTTTCCAGGTATGTCATATCGAGAAGTGGGGTTGTTGTGAACACAACATCCGATTACAAATCGTAGAAAGAAGTGGGATAGGCCTATATCTTATATATATATATATATATATATATATATGATAATGTATAATAAAGTGTTTCACAAAGGGAATCTGTATATGACGATTCTCAAAAACTTAGGAATCTAATGTACAATTTAGTACCTTTGAGAAAATCAGGGAGTTATAGTTCTGCTGATTCTCTTCTGGCCATTAAGGGGGGTTGGATGGCCGAATGGTTAGCACGTGCGCGCTGTATCATAAGCCTGTCATTGAGTCAACTGGCGTGGTTTCGAATCCCCGGTTGTACGTGACAAGTAGTTGGGTTGCCTGTCCAACCTCGTGGGTTTTCTCCAGGTCCTCCGGTTTTCTCCCACAGCTAAAGACCCCTGTGCGCAAGCAAATTATTGAAATAAAATTAAACCATATGTTAGTCCTGAAATGACCTATCTGTGTCGAGTGGACGTTAAACCCCATTTCTCTCTCTCTCTCTCTCTGGCCATTAATCACCAAACTAACCATAAAAGAAGTTACAGAAGAGTCAGACATTTAAGATTAATCAACTATATGCATTGTAGAGATGATAGGTGGTCATGTTCTGATTTTTAAAATCAGGGACTTCTGACTCTCTTCTGGCCATTAATCACCAAAATAACCATAAAAGAAATTAAAGAAAAGGTCAGACATTTAAGATTAATCAACTACATTTAGGGATTGTAGGTGGTCATGTTAGAACTGATTTTTAATATAGAAAACTTGGGTGCGGGCCTCTTCAATTTCTGACATGATTGTAGGATAAGACTGTCAGACATTTTTCTTGCCAAGACTTAAGAAGATTTGTTATAACACACTTACTTTCAGCTCTTGATAAATTAAAGAATATATGGGGATACTTGAAATTAAATAGCCTACTTATATGGAACTTTATTTAGATTTTTAAGACTCTTACTCTATCTTAAAGTAGATTTATTGACTTGTTGACACATGTAAAAACTCTTGTTTAAAAAAGCAGAGTACTTAGGTACTTGAAATTATAAAGGCATTTCTATTATTATGATAATATTAATTTCATTATTATATTGTTTATTATTGAAAGAATATTACATGGAGTAGAAATTTAATATTCAAAAAATGATTCCAACAAGGAATTAAGTTCTAAATTTCGAAAAAACAAATTATGTTTGTAGTATAGTAAATTGATTACCATTAGAATATAAAAGCAACAGATTTCCAGTATATATAGTAAAGTAATATAGTGTGTTCTGCAAATATAAAGCATACATTGGTGCTTGTGTCCTGTTTGTTTTATCAAACTTTTCTGTTTCATTCCAAATATAGGTTTGTTTAGAACAGCATGTGATTTTTCTTTTTTTTCAAAATAAGTATCTTATTAATTTAACAGTTCAAACACAATTAAAACTAAAGTAGAAAACAATACATCTTTACAGGCATAACCAGCCAGATCGTTCATTTTTGGAATGAAATTTCTTTTAAAGCTTTAACTTTGTAGTTTGCGAGGAATTGTATTTGATAGGTTGGATAATGCCACTGAATGGTGGTGACAGTGTGTTGCCCAAATACAACCAATGTATCAGTCACTTTTTGTCCTCCGCCTTTCGAAGAAAGCAGGGGATTATTAAAATGGGTTCGTCCGTCCGTCTGTCTGTCCGCCTGTCTGTCTGTCTGTCCGTCACACTTTTTGGGACACAATAACTCTCTTTCTAATTGAGCTAGAATGTTCAAACTTTGTGTAGGTGTTTATTAGGTCAGTGCCTTGATGGAGTTCGAAGATGAGCATTTTATGCTTAGGGTAAGCTGAGCGATAAGCAATTTGATTGGCCAAGACTTTGGAACACAATAACTCTCCTTCTAATTAAGCTAGAATGTTCAAACTTGATGTAGGTGTTTATTAGGTCAATACCTTGATGGAGTTCAAAGATGAGCATTTTCTGCTTAGGGTAAGCAGAGAAACGCAATTTGATTGGTTGATGCTTTGGGACATGATAACTTTATTTCTAATTAAGTGAGCGTGATGAAACTTAGTGTATAGTTTCATTACATCAATACCTTGACTAAGTTCGATAATCAACATTTTCTGCTCAGGGTAATCAGAGTGATAAGCATTTTGATTGGTCGAGACTTTGGAACACAATAATTTTAACTCTCATTCTAATTGAGTCAGAATGTTCACACTTGGCGTAGGTGTCTATTATGTGAATGCCTTGATGGAGTTCGAAAATGAGAATTTTCTGCTTAGGATAAACAGAGATAAGCAATTTGATTGGTTGATGCTTTGGGACACGATAACTTTAGTTCTAATTAAGTGAGAGTGTGGACACTTGGTGTATAGTTTTATTACATCAATACCTTGACTTAGTTCGATAATGAACATTTCTGCTGAGGGTAAGCAGAGCGAAGAGCAATTTGATTGGTCGAGACTTTGGAACACAATAACTCTCCTTCTAATTGAGGTAGAATGTTCAAACTTGCATGGTGTTGGCGTTCATTAGGTGAATGCCTTGATGGAGTTCGATGATCATCATTGTCTGCTTACGGTAAGCAGAGATAAGCAATCTGATTGGTTGATGCTTTGGGGCACGA